AATTTATTTTCTTGGGATTTATATCCCGCCCTACCCAAGCAGCCCAGGGCGGCAAACAAGCGGCAACGCCGGAATAAAATATAAATTACATTAAAACATCAATAAATACAAACTAAATGGTGCCCTACAGTTCATTAAATTTCCAAGATGCTCGATGTCCCTCATTGGCGGCCGATGGTGTAATAGCGTGATGTTCCTCTTCCGGGTGACGTCTACCCCCTCCCAGGAACCAGGGTAGATGGTAAATCAAGCCACGATGGTGGTATAGTGGCGGCGGCGGCTCCTACTCGAAAGCCTGGCGGAAGAGCTCCGTCTTGCAGGCCCTGGGGAACTGGACAAGGGCCCGCATGGCCCGGATCTCCGCCGGGAGCTCATTCCACCAGGTAGGAGCCGCCACCGAAAACGCCCTGGCCTTGGTTAGGGCAAGCTTTAATAATGTTAGCAGCTTCCCCAAAGTCACTTGTCCTCTTGTAGGTATATACCTACATTAGGTGTTCCTGGCACACTGTCAACCATCTTTCCCAACACGGTCGCCTGGAGGAGACTCTTGCGCTGCAGCCTACTAAATGCAGAGCAACCCTTTATTCATTTCAGGTGCTTGTATGCCTTGCATCCAAAACGTCATTACCACATCATTTTCTTCTCTGTTGTACCCTAACCACCACCCTTGTGGGGTAGGTTGGGCTCAGAATGTGTGACTGGCCCAAGGTCACCCACCAGCAAGCTTCTGTGACACTAGTGGGGGGACTCGAACCTGGATCTCCCAGATCCTAGTCTGGCACTTTAAACCCTACCCCCTACCCCGCAGTGGCTCTCAGCGCATGGGCAAATAGCGATGTCTTAAGGTGAAGCTGAAAAACCATCATGTTTTGGCAGCAGGCAGAAGAAAGGTCATTCTCTAAGCTAGGTGCCACAACCAAAAAGGTCCTGTCCTCAGTGTCCGCCTGCCTCTCTATCACATTACTGTCCTCCCCTTACTCCAAGGAGCTGCGGGAGGCATGCATTTGATCCTCACAACAACCTAGGGCCGCCAAGCCGCGGCGGGGGATCCATGCGTCTTCACAGGATCCCTGCCGCAGGGGACAGCGATACGCGTTGCGCCGCCGTCGCCAGGATGTGACGCTACGCGTCGCTCTGGCAACGGGGCTGTTTGGAGTCCCTTTGCCAGAGCGACGCGTAGCGTCACATCCTGGCGACAGCGGTGCAACGCGTATTGCTGTCCCCCATGGCAGGGATCCTGTGAAGACGTGCGGATCCCCCACCGCGGCTTGGCAGCCCTACCAGAGGCCCTCAGGGCAGGTGCCCAGAATCTGCCCACTTGTGACCAGGGGATGTGGCTGAAGGTGCCATAGAGGAGGGGAGGACTCCAGCCACTTGCCAGGTCCCCAACCATGGCTGTCACAGCCCATCTCACCTACCCTCTCCTCCATGTGAGCAGCAATCGAGCAGGAGTGGTTTGAGAGCCTTCACGAGTGCCAGAGGAGGAGGAGGAGGAGTGGTTTACAATCTCCTTTCCCTTCCCCTCCCCCAAGCAAACACCCTGTGAGGTAGATGGGGCTGAGAGGGCTCTCCCAAAAACTGTCCTTGAGAGAACAGCTCTGAAAGAACTTATGCCTGACCCAAGGTCACTCCTACCTGGACACATAGTAGATAAGTAAGTTCGTACGGGAGAAGCTTGTTCCGAACTCAAACTGTTTGGGGCTTTTCAATGCAAGATCCCTTTTTAAATTGAGTCCGGGAATAAAACTGCGACAAACGGGAGTTCTTTAAGCACACGACGGTACCCGCATGCAGCCCCTCTTACCGTTGTGCTCTGAACTAACTGATGTTTCCAAACCGTCTCCAAGGTCAGCACTGCAAAGAGAGCCTTGTACGTAATATAACCCGACCAAAACTTGGATTCCGGCAGTCGAGTGGCCGAGTCTACCAAAGCTGGGGCCAAGGACACCGTGCCGCAGCGGCTGTTACCTGCCCGCACCATAACACAAGAATGCAAACATGCATAATGCTACTCTTTGCCAGTGAAAACCAAAAGCGGCGCACCAGCTCTCCCCCGCCCCCGTGCTCCGGGCTGAAGCACTCCTCTTTAATCTGGACCTAATTCTGTGCCAGTTCATGCCTCTTGTTCTCAGAAGAACAAAGGGCCGTTTTATCTTTGTTTACGCAGCGCAACCATTCTGGTTAAACATAATGGCGTCGGCTGGATTAATGAGAGGAGAGCGCGAGAGAGCTCCGGAGGCTTGGATTCTTCCCGACCTGCTCAGAGACCAGATTGTTGCTCCCTGCCTGTCCTTTTCCTTCAGCATGGATTGCCGCTCTTTCATCTTAGGGCATGGGTGGTGTCTTCGGAAGGGTGTTGGCTTTGGACTGGGGACAGGTCTTGCCCTCTGGGCGGCCTCCTGCATATTTCTCCCCCTCTGTTTCAGCCTGACAAGGTTGTTACGGGGATTTCTTCCCCCCCCGGCTGTCCAATCACAGCTCACTTCCGGCGCCCCCATAGGGTTTCCAAGGCAAGAGACATTTAGAGGTGGTTTGCCATTCCCTGCCTCCACATCACAACCCTGGTGTTCCTTGGAGGTCTCCCTTCCAAATACTAGCCAGGGCCAGCCCTGCTTAGCTTCCAGTTTGGTGTCGTGGCTAAGAGCAGGAACTCTAATCTGGGAGAACCGGGTCTGATTCCCCCACTCCTCCACATGCAGCTGCTGGTTCGACCTTGGGTCGGTCACAAGTTCTCTCTGAGCTGTTCTCTCAAGGGCAGTTCTCTCAAGAGCTCTCTCAGCCCCACCTTCCACAGGGTGTCTGTTGTGGGGAGGGGGAAGGGAAAGGTGTTTGTAAGCCATTCTGAGACTCTTGAGTGAAGGGCGGGGTAGAAATTGAATCTCGTCTTCTTCTTCCAAGATCGGGTTAGCCTGGGCAATCCAGGTCAGGGCTATTATGGGGATAGGCCTCCCCAAAGCCCTTGGAGCCAGGGTAGGATGCAAGCACAATAATAAGCAATGAGCCCCACTCAAAGAGACCAAAGCATCCCCCCCCCTGAACGTGGCCACCCCGTTGCTGTTGGGAGGCCCCCCTCGGGAGGGCAAGAAGGCCACAGTGCTCTCGAGTTATATATCCTCAAGTTCTGGTATTCAGAGGTACACAACCTTTGAATATGGAGGTTCCACTTAGTTATCGTCGTTTGCAGCGGCTGATAGACCCTCGTCTCGCGGGATTGGTCTGATCTCCCTTTGAAAGTTGTCTGAGCCTGCAGCCATCTTATGAAAGAGAGAATCCCATAGGTTTAATTATGCATTGCATGGAGAAGAAGTCACATTCTTCGTCTGTGCTGAACTGATTGGGGGGGGGAGTTCTAGTGTCAGGAGAGAGGGTGGAGGAGATCTTTCCAGCCGTGTGGTGCACTCATAAATGACTCTTATCCCACGGATTTGCGGATGCACTCATAAATGACTCTTATCCTACGGATTTGCGGATGCATGAGAAAAGGACGTGTAAGAATGCAAGGTCTTGTGAATCGGGGCACCTCCTTCTACCAGGGGCGCAGGCTTCCTTACCGCCCGGCGCCTGCCTTTCTCTCCCTCTGTTTGCAACCGTCATGGTTTTATTTATGACATCCCTTCAGTGCATTTTCATCCCACCCTTCTTCCAAGGAGCTTGGGATGGCATACATAATTTCCCCTTCCCCCATTTAATCTGCACAACCCCGTTGTGGAGTAGGCTAGGCTGAAAGAGAGAGAGACTGACCCAAGATCACCTGTAGTGCCACCATTAAGAAGAGTTACATCCTTCTAAGCTTCATTGACTACATTCAGAAGGGTATAACTCTGTTCAGGATTGCATTGCCAGTGAGCTTCTAAGCAGGCTGAGGATTTGAATCCACATCTCCCCAGTCCTGGCCCCGTAAGCTTATTGTCTCTACAAATAATGAGGCACAACTTGCAGATGCATTTCCACTCAGGCCTGAACTCCAGGAGATTTCAGTCCAATCTGAAAAGTGTCCATGGAAATGCTTCCAATCCAGTCTCTTTCACACACCCTCCCCTGCTCAATTATGGCTCTCCCTCATCACTTGTGGTCATAAATGTGGTGGAATTACCTGCCTGCAAGGGAACACCATCATGCCACGTTTGGTGCTTCCTGCCATCAAGGAAGGGTGGATGGCTGAAGGCAGGGAGAGGCAACCTTTTTTTAGACCAAGTGCCCCCTCCCAAAGAAGCTCTTGGTGTGTTGGCAAACAAAATTGGCCAGCCACGCTCAGAGTGAGCTGAGCCCCAGTGGCATTGCCTGCCTCTTAGGGATTTGCCTTGGCTTGTGGCTGCACAGGTCTGGGAGGCTGTGGTGGGAGGAGGCCACCCCTGTTGCCTCCTCCTCCTGCACTCTGCCAGTGCTTCCGTTGCTTGAGCGAAGACCCGGCCCAGGGGGAGAGCATCCGGATGTGCCGGAGGGCGGAGGGGGCTGCCCACCTCAGGGTGAAGGTTTTTGGCACTCACCACAATTGCCTGGATGGCACTAGAACCCAATGCTGCTTTCACACAAGCTTGACCTTAGGTTGCATGTCCAAAGTTTAGAGTTGCCAACTCTGGGTTGAGAAATTCCTGGCAATTTTGGGGGGGCGGGGTGGATTCTGGGGGAAGTGCAATTTGGGAAGGGATCTCAGCTGGGTTTAATGCCATTGAATCCACCCTCCAAAACAGTAGTTTTTCTGCAGAGGAAAAATCTGTCATCTGCAGGTCAGTTGTAACTCCAGAAGATACCCAGGTCCCAACTGGAGGTTGGTAACCATACCAAAATTTGAGGCCAGGGCACATTCCAGTTTAGAAGAACTTTTCCCTAC